GCCCCAGGTGAATTGACAAGGTCACTGCCAATGCCACTCCAAGGACAGGAAGTAGTTTGTTAAAATATGCTCAGGAGGTCCACAGTCTGTGCCAGTGTCACTGTGGGGTAAAATTCCTTCCTGATCCCAAATGTGGTGATTAATCTGACCCCAGGGAAAGGAGTAAGATCCTCTAGCTGGACGTCTCTGAGTTTTCTAAATCTCAGTAGGAGCATTAGCACACCCCTTTCAAACACTCAGTAGAAATTTGTACTCTCCACTTTCTGAATTTATTTATATATATAAATAACGTTGGACTTGGCCACAGCTCTCAAATATTGGCTTAGACTGCAAGTTAAAATTATCTTACTGGCTTCCCATCCTACTCAGTCACTTATGCAAATAAAAGTCCCCAGGGCTGGGGTCCCAAGGAAACTTGGGCTGGAAAAGCAAAAAAAAAAATGGATTGCAGAAGAAGGGCTATTAGCATAAAGGAAATGGGGAAACACCTACCTACATCACCTCTTTCAGCAGGTAGTGATATTAATCTTTTGTTTTCACCAGCAATAGCATAATTTTCAAAGTTAAAAATAAAACCAACACATTTCCACAAGAAGCCATCTAGTCCTTCTTCATCCTTCTGTTTAAGAAAACTTCATCTTCCAAAAGAGAAGAAAGCAATTAGTGAATGCAGAATGCATGCCTCGTTTGCTAGCATAATTACTGCAGTTGTGCGTGCAAGTTGAGTAGTTTGGTATACAAATGAATGGTTCTGTCTCTAGCAGATCAGGAAGACTGTAAGGGAAGGCTAGATACTTTCAGGCTAGAAATTGGGTTGTGTTTTTTCTTTGTAATCTTTAACTGTAGGGTGGATGTCTCTAAAAAGACACAGCTACCTCTGCTGCCCAATAAAGCCTCACCAAATGCAAATCTCAGCTTTGTGCAGAAAGTCAGATTGGATGATTAAGGATGACTGGCCTTAAAATCTTTAAATTGAGGCATTGGCCAGCACCCTTGTAGATTCCCCATAGGTATGTGCAGTCACTAACATTCAGTGATTGGGTATGTCTACTTTGCATGCATAAAAGTGTTGAGAGCAAAGACCCACCCTCTGCAGAGTGATGTCAGCTCCCTGCAGAGGCCCTGGAGTAGAGTGCTGTGCGCACACCCATGTGCTGAGTGCAGAGCCTGAGTGAATGGGGTGACTGGTCAGGGTGTGTGAAAGACTGTGGGTGTGTGGTGTGGCTGGACTGAGGGCCTGACTGAGAGGTCTGTGTGCGTTTTTGGGGTGTGGAGAGGCTCTGAGAAATTGGAGGAAGGTGTTTGGTGAAGGAATTGGTGGTTGCATTGCTGGGGTGAGAGGCTGGAGCAAGAGTTAGGATAGAGTGACTGGTTTCTTTGGCTGGTGCACTGTGGAGGCACGTCGTGTTAGAGTTAGTGACCTGTGAGGCCCCATCAATCTCCTCCCTCCATTGCAGTGAACCTTCGCTGGAGGTAGCTAGGGTTGGCTCCCTGGGTTTCTTTCCCTCTGGGTGTGTGTATCACATAAAGCAGCAGCCCTCTACTTCCCATTGTAAGTATCACCCATCCCTTTTCTCCCTCACTCTTGTCCTGGTTGTGGGTTACTTCTCCTTATTTGTGAGGGGAAGGGAAGCCCTACTGAGCAGTTGTCTGACGAGCAAACCATGCTCAGGAGACCAAAGGCAATAAAGTTTCCCCTCTCCCTCAATAAAGTCTACCCCATCCTTGAGTAAATATTATACTGTTGTATTGGTAAGGGTCATTGTGGGAACTGGGTGTGTATATGTGTTGCTTACTTACCAGTTGTTTGTTGTGATTTAATAAACTGTTTTATTTGTATACCTTTAGCAGTTCTCTTAACGATTATTCATTAAAACTGGTGATAGGGTCGGTCTTTGCCCTGTCCATATCTATCTTGCTGGGGAGAGATCCAAGAGGAAGCAGCTGTTTGGGCCTGCTTTATAATTTGGTTTAAAAGAGTGATTTTTCCCCCTCCAACAATAGGTGCACCCCTAACTTGTGTACCTTTACTCTTACCATGCATGCTGAATAAGGCTAAGAATATTATTCAAACCTGACAGCAATTCAACAGTTAAGAATGAACAGCAAATCTGCTAATATACAGAAGTGTTATGTTCCTTATTATAGCTGTCAGATAAGTTATAATTTAACCTGCATGTGGAAAAAAAACGCTCCCTAGAATGAAGCTAAACTTGATCTCTCTCTATTTTTTTGACATATTACTGTTGGAATTCATGCCAAGCTTCATCTCCGTTTTCAGTAGAAAATGTGATATACCCAGTGGAGCCAAATACGAGAGAGAGGTATCAAGAAAAATATATTTAGGTGTAGACAAAGTACTGAAGGCTCATTTCAGATACCACTCTGCAGGAGTGATATTGGGATGGAGGCTCATCTCTTAAGCAAACAGCTAAAAAGAATGTATTGTTTCCCACATTTCATGAAACCTGTGTTGACAGGGTCAGTATGTCACATTCTCACTCCAGTGAGACTGCTAATATATACCAGCTGGCACTATGGCATGTTTCATTCACAGAGAGTCCCATCTGTGACTTACAGAGAAAATTGGTTAAGAGCTCTAGTTCAGGAGTGGCCAACCCACAGCACCTGTGCCACAAGTGGCATAGGCAGCCTCTTCGCAAGGCACACGGCAGATCAAGCAGAGAGTAGAAAGCAGAGCTACAAATCAAGCAGGGGAAGGGGATTGGAGTGACACAGTGGGAGGGTAGGGAGCCTAGCTTTGGCATGCGTGCCAAAAAGTTTCATCCCCAGTGCTCTAGTTGGTTCCTCTACCTTGGTCAGAATTGGCGATGAGTGGGCATCTCCCAGGGCACTGTCCAGCCTCATTTTGAATATCTTCAGTGATCAAACATTTTCAAATTTCTGCAGGGCCCAGTTTATGATTGGGAGAGCCAAGGATCCTCAGTACCCAGTGGTGAATCAATGCACATTGCTTTCACACTGGATACAAAGAACCTACCACTTGTGCAAGGACCTGCCGGCATCACAAAAGGATTGTCACTACACATGCATGCTGTGCCACTGTGAAGTATGCCCAGCCCACTTGCTTCCACTCCATATGTGCCAGTTGCTGCAATTGAGGCAACATAGCCACTTCGGAGCAGCCTTGAGGATGCATCCAGAGGCCCACTTGCGTGATGGTTTGGAGGTTCTTATTAGCATATACCCAGGGCTGCTTGAAGGTGGTTGTGTTGCCTCAACTCCATGACTTGGTATGTGCCAAGAAGTGTGTGTGTAAGATGTGCTTCATGGCAGCATCCCTGGGAGTGACACACAAGCAGTGCAAATGAGCTCTAAGGGACAATAGGCTCTTCAGAAGCAAAAGGGGTGGTATGGTCCCATTTCCCTCCCCTGAATGAAGAGTTTGGGGGGAGCATATGTTATATCTGTAAAGAGGATGCCCGAGTTCAATTCCTAAACGTACTCCTGTCTCGCACCTCTGGCACTGTTTTCTCTTTCCCTGTCAGTGTCTTTTGTAGGCAGGCTGCCGACAGGGGTTGAGTAGATTTTCTTCCTGGGTGCAGCTTTTTTGCACCGAGACACAACAGAGCCCCACCTCTGTCCCTCCATATATTCATGTACAATCTGAAGGGGCCTGATTTACACCATTCAACAGAACCTTTCCTGTTGCTTAACTCCCACTCCCTGCAAAGAAGCTAAAACCTACTTGGTAACTTTCCGCTGTTAGCTTGTAGAGCCCTGCTGCTGTCAGTGCTCTGTCTCGATGGCTGTTCATTCTTCTACTGTTTTTCAGGCATATGCAAATGTAATTAATATCCTCTAAATTAATCTTCAGTACTCAGGGGGAGGGGGGGGGAGATGCAATCTTCCCCCCACTTTCCCCCAGCCCCCATTTGTCATAATGACTGTGTGAAATAATAGGGTTGCACGAAGGAGCGTTTAATATCCAGCCGTGCCATTATAGAGCTCTGCTCACAGCTCCCTGCATGGAAGGATAATCATTGTACCTGCTGCTGTCGGACTTATCAGTGTGAGTGGTAATTATTGGCACCTGCAGTTAGGCACAGAAGCTCATTCAGGCTCCATGAAATATGAAACACATCATCAAGGAAGAATTCAAGTGACGCCTCCCCCGCAACACGCACACACTGTTCCCTGCTATGTCTTTTCTGTGGGGCCCCAGAAAGCCTGTCCAAAAGTGGGGAGCAGCAGAATCCACCCTATCTGGGTATTGGAAGCATGTTTGTGCTTTAGGAAATATAATTTGCCTCCCAAATGTTGTTCAATAGTAAGTAGTGTGTTCGGCTCTTCCTTTGATTCATCTGTCATGCATCTCTACTGATGTGCCACTTTTCTAGACCTCAGGACTCTAGGGCTGAGTGCTCACACATGCTTCTGCTAATGGACCTAAGTCCTGGCCTGCAGTGTCTTGCTCCTGTCAGCTTTGCCAATGCACCTTTGCTTCCAACTAGTAACACTGTTCACAGTTTTGCTGACTTGCAGTTCTCTTTGTTATGCCACCTTGCACTCCCCCAAATCCTCCAGGACACACAGCTGTAAATCCATGCCACTCCTGAGTTGTAGTGTTCTGCTCTTTCCAGCCTGTTCCCCACATGTATCTTTGCTGATGTACACCACCACCTTGATGAAACCTTCCCCACTTTGCTTTCTGTTCATTGTACAACAGTCCTGAATTCTGCAGTGCTTCCGGAATGTGGAAAACCATTTTCCCAAGAATCAGCCATAAGATTAATTTCTGCTGCTAAAACCAAGTTTGGCTTAGGTCGTCAGGAGTAAAAAGCTCCAACTCTGATTCCTTACATCTAAATATTCACCACAATTTTCTTTTAAACAGTATATTTATCTTGCACCTGAAAAATGTGTGTGCAAATTGGAACTTAATTCTATTTGAATACTGATAGAGTGCTTTTTGAGTGGGGGGAGCTCAGTGTGCTTTGCAAAGGTAGATGTATGTTGTTCCCATGTTACAAAGTGGGGAGATGTTATACAAAGAAGCTAAAGGATTTCTCAAGGTAATATAGGAAGACACTGTGAGAAATGGAAGTCTTCTGATTGAGTCAGTTCTTCAGCCCTCCATCATGTTGCATCCTTTTACACGCCCTAAACAGGTGAGCCTATTTCTCATTTACACAAAGGCTCTTCTGCACAGCCTAAGAGTAAAGACAACTGAGTTTCAACTGCTGGCTTGCATGATTGCCCATTTTGTCCACTCAGTTGCAAGCTTGTAGGGCTGAGTGGCCGTTTGTTTGTATGAGTGGCATGATGGTTAGATGCCCACACTCGAATGTGTGGCTCTGAATGTTTTCTTCCGCTGTTTGTTTTTCATAGAACGTAGGAGGCCATTTTTGCTTCTAAATGCACCGAGCAGCTCAGGACCTTAAATACTGTTCACTGACAACTGTTACAGTTTCTGATTGTACTGTTAACAACTGTCCATGCTTGACTTGAAACAGAAATAAGTGGCATGACTTTTCAGACTCAACTAAAGCAAGATTAATGGAAAATCAATGTGTGTGCTGTAAATTCCATGTAGTTAATACATACAATATTTTAAAAGTACAAAATAATAGAAAAGCAGGTAGGTAAAAAAGACAGTAATTGATGGATTGCCTTTGATTTTTTTCAGGGAAAATAATTGTATGTGTAACTCTGAGATAAAGCACTTAGCAAACTGACATCATGTTCTGCAACTCTCTCCTATCCATTTAGTCATGAAAATCACTGTTTTCAGAGAGCCTAGAAAGCTGCACTGAGGAGCAACGCATTTCTTGTCAAACCTTGGAGAGACGTGGAGTTGCACATGAAGAGCAGCTGGGAAAGCAGGTAATTTGGTTTGTTCACTGTTTTGGAAACAAATTGCCAACCTCCAGCCAGTAGCATAATGAAGGGGAGGAGGAGCACCAGGACACCAGCCCTGGGGGTTGATCTTGGGGGACTGGAGGGAGGTAGAGTAGCAGCTACACTGTAGCCTGGCCACCAGTGTTGAACCATGAGCTGCGGTTGCTCAAGGTGCTCAAGGATCTAGTTATGCTTGTGCATCTAGCTATATACAGGACTCCTGGTGGCTCACTTGGTTAGGGTCATGGCTTGGCCACTACCCGATCACTTCCCCAAACCCATCTGGAATGTAGGGGGCTCAGACCCACCTTAGCAGTGCTGCCTTTGTAATCACTGCTGATTCCTTGGAACTTCTTTACTCAGATGTCTTAAGAATGCCCCTTTTCTGGTGAGGATGGATCCCTTTCCCTAAGCACAGACAAAAATACAAGTTTCTAATCAAGGGCCTAATGAAGTTTCCATTAAATCTAGTGGTAGGGGAGGGCTTTCAGCACACAATAAGATCGCTTGGAGTTTTGTGTTGGCCCCCACTAGAGATAGTATGTGTTATAATACAACTTAGCAAAAGTTGTATTATAACATGAGAGCCCACTCACTTCAGTGCAGATGACATACAAATTGTCTGCTATGTGAAGTCAGCGGCCAGTCTCCAGCTGCTTTAGATCCTGCAGATCACAAAAAAGATTGGGACTCCATTGAGCTAGGCTGTCTACAAGAAGAGCAAGAGACAGTCTCTGCCCTGAAGATGTTGGAAGCTGAATAGATGAGGCAGACAGGGGGAGGGGGATCAGAGTGACTTGTCCAAGGCCATGCACCAGGTTAGTGGTACAGGCCGAGATGGAAATGAAAGCCAGCACTTTTGAATCTTACTCCAAGGTTCTGTCTACTCAATGCAATGCTAGGCTGAGGGAGGTTCTTGGGAAAATGGGACAAAGAAATCACTCCTGTCTGAGAGATTTAGACTGTTATAGCCCTCAAGACTCCCAGGCACTAATGCTCAGCCCAACAGCAGCACCTCACCATGGGAAGGACTCTTGGGTCAGAAAGTTAAGGCCACTCTTGTATTAACATGCCACTTTGTCAGGTACCCTGGAGGCATCTAAGCCTGATACAAAACCATGCTCTCAGTCAAATGCATGCCTTCAGCTCATAATGGACAGACCCTAAGGAGCAGCAGCACCCAGGCCCTTGTTTCCATGGAGATAAAGTGGAGACATACAATCCACCTAGACTTCTGAATGGAGGCAGGTGGGGGGAATTTATCGTGAGTGGCTTTAGCAGCAAATGGCAGTTGGCTTCAGCTTTGGGAAGGTCAGACTTTTGTTCTTGTTCATGTTCAATTTATACTGTCTTCTCTCTCACTTGATATGTACTGGCAACTATGAACTATTACAGTGTGCTGAGCAGGTGGGGGAAATGGAGACACCATACTGTTCTGGAACACAACAGCAAGACATTAATAGTCTATATATGATTGTCATTTCAACAATCTGTCCTGCACCCACTGAGAAGCATGGGTATAGGTAGAAGTTTGCCATCTAATGAATATTTAAATTAAATTTAAGAATGAAGTGTCCCCTGGAGACGTAATTTAGTCTCTAAGTGTTAAAGTGTACAAGATATCATATTCCATGATGGGTGGTGGTGGGGAGGTG